AAGTCTAGTGACTGTCTTCTAGCACCACGAAGTTTCACCTTTTGGGCAGGTGATGTTGCCTGTGTTTTGAGACGAAAACCGATTAGATACTATTAGTGTTCATCACTTAGGACATCACTATCAATTCTAAATCTTACGTGAGCGAATAATCAAAATTGTGAACAAGGCTTCTTCGGCCTACGCCACATTTGAAGGCGAGTCATGTGGTTTTTGCAACATGATAATGCAAAGCTTCAAAGAAGACGAAATAAGCTACGACAACATATGGCTGGGCACCTTGACTCCTCCACCCTATAGTCTTGATCTAGGAACCTAAGACTTTCATAAGATTGGATTGATGAGGTAGACACTTAGAATATTCATTATAAACAGAGTTCTATTAAATCTGTTGCACTTTTTAAAAAAATACTATTTACTGCCCTCTCTCTGTTCATAACTCATTAAGATTTGAGAAGATCTTAATGAGAAAATGCATATTCCTTAAATGGCCGGGCTGTGAATCTCTCTTTAGCCGAGCGGTCTAAAGGACACTGGATCAGGCGGTAGCTTCCCCATACAAAGGTGAATCAGCCACGAACCTTGATAAAGAACTTTTATATATATATATATATATATATATATATATATATATACACACACACATATACATATATATATATATATATATATATATATATATATATATATATATATATATATATATATAATTTCTCACCAGTCGAGATGCAATTGAAATGCACCGAAACGAAGTTGCATCTTTGTAGTGAGTAAACTGTTTTTTGTCTATATGAAAAATATAATAAAACAATTATTGCTCTACTAACTGTATCAAGACCTCTTTGAATTAATGCCGTGAACGTTAGAATTTATATATTTTTTTCGTTCTCATTGCATCGTCTCTCTCTCCCTCACACACACACACATATATATATATATATATATATATATATATATATATATATATGTGTGTGTGTGTATAATTATTCAAGCGTGGTTTGAAATAGATACCCTGTTTTTTTTTTTAAATATCCATTACGTTTATCGGTCTGAGCACTCGAGTAAACTCAATAGAGGAAATACGACTGATATTTTTTTTTTATCTCGCGTGCGCAGGACGATGGACGTTATACATACTGTTTAAAATAAATAAATGAATAAAAATGGACGTCTATTTCAAACACGGGTATCTACTGAGATTAACGTTTAAATTAATAAAAATGTTTTATAAACAAATGCATTAATTTTACATATATATAGCAACAGGTATTTGAAACACCTCATTAGCGGCCCACGTATCCTGACCTGCCGTCATTGATTAAATCTCTCCCTCGTGGAACATTGGTCTCGAATAACAAGAAGGAAACAAAGTACACCCACCCTTTTATGTCAAAATGTTTTTCTCGTTCTCTTTTCTTTTTAAATTTGTCTCTTTTCTTTCTTATAAACAATAATTTTGCTTAGCTTATCGTTGTATTTAAATGCGATTGCATGGTAATATTTTAAACAAACCTGGGCTTTGAATATTATAATGAATACATTTATGCTTGTAAAATGTAAACTATAATTTGTGTTTTGTTTTGGGCGGGGGTAAATCTTTTTATTCCTTTTTGTGGACCATAGGCAAGTTACGAGATAGTAAGTGTTGTTTCAACTTAAACAAGCCCGTTTTGTCCATCATCAAAAGTGATATGTGAGGTCAGTTGTCTATTTTCTCCGTTGTAAATAAAACTATTTCAATGAACTGTTTTAACATTCACCTGTGCCATTAGTCACAAGTCAATCTACTGTTTCCGACCAAGAGATTCGGGTAGACACTGTTTAAACAAATAAAAGGTGGCGGTGGTCGGTCGACTGAACAGACATTAAAAAAAAAGCAAAAAAACTGGAGACAGGTAAAATAGAATACAGGCTGGTGTCTGGGTGAGAAGTAGGTTGGTATGTAAATACAAAAGGCGAAGCTAGAAAGTATTTCTTTATAACGTACAAGCAAATGTCAAGAAAGACACTATTAACGTGAAGCGGAAAGACAAAGGTATAGAATACTGCAGAAATAAAACAGTCAAATGAAATAATTGATGCTTTTTCAACGCTTATGAAAAGATATTTCAGGAGTTAAAAGATGAAACACTGGTTTATTTATATATACTTAGTGATCCCAGTTTCCCAATTTGTTCAAGAAAACTTATTAATAACCAGAAACCTTAATTCTGAAAAAAAAAAAAAAAAAAAACAAAACAAAAAAAACAAAAAACAAAAAAAAAAAACCAACAAATTTCAAGAAACAAGAGCCAGTTCCAACCGGTTCTACTGAAAGAAACCAACTAAATATTTTGAGACTCTTTTGGACAAAATCTACCGGAAATATGAAATTCTTTGATAAGCTTCCTGTGAGCATATTGGAAACACTTTCACAGAATATAATTCTTAGACAAGGGAAGTGATTGTCTGCATTCTAGAGGTATAAACAGACCCGTCACAAAGTTCCTTACACGCAAGCCACCAATCTGCCACTGGGTGGCATGCCACCAATCTGCCACTGGGTGGCATGCCACTAGTGTTTACCGCTAGTGGTCGGACCGCCGGCGTGTTCGTCTCGGCAATGTTACCACTGAGGGACCGCTAGAGACCCACAGGTGGACTGCCGGTGGCTGTCACCAGAGGACCGCTGGTGTTGCCATTGGTGGTTCGCCAGCGTGCCACTAGCGGCGTGTAGAACTGAGTACTGGGTGTCAGCCCGACAATTTGCAATTCCAATTCGCTTTCGGATTTCCGTATCACATTTTCGCCATTAATTACGACTCCTACAGATAGTTGAATTTTCGTACATGTTTCATTATGATGTCTCAAATTCGTAACTCTCGCCTTAGCCTCTCCCTCTTGCTAGTATCGATACATTAATATTTCTTATCGCTTTCCTTCACTACGTTGTCTAAGATTACTCAGAGTTTAATTTCTGATTCTATCATCAACACGATGTGCGTCCTGGGTATGGCGATAAAACATCCGGCAGCAAGGTCTCTGTTCGGGAGATTTTGAGGAGCGTGGAACCACCTCTTAATTTATGTTGTTTCCAGGTCCACCCTGACCCGGGGTGCTAGCATCTGTTAGGGTCCCAGCTGTGGACAAATAGTTAACCCCCAAACTGGGGGTCAAAACACTAGCAGTATATTTCCATAGTAAAAAAAAATGTTACGGGCAATATATATATATATATATATATATATATATATATATATACACTACTTTAATACATTTTGTTAAGAGAAATTACTAATGCTCCCAATTAAATTTCGATATTAAATGGCCCATAAGGAGTTTATATACCGGTAAACCAAATCATCATCAAGAAAATGTCACCTGCATATCTTATGTTGTTAATACTGGACGCCTTTTTGAATTAAAATCCACTTGGAGAGCTTCTTCCCCAAAAATTGCTGACAGGATGCTTTCCCAACCACTACAATCTTGACTGCTTCCTGTCTAGGATTAACCATTACCTTTCTGCTTAATCTCACGAACTTCTCTTTTTGCCGTTTCTTACGCCCATACAACGCCGCCTTGTAATCTTCTACCCTGAGCAATTCTTGAACGAACATTAATATAAAGAAACATCTGCTAAATTCGTTTTCTATCCGCATGCGGTAAATGTTAAGGATTATTCTTTCCAAAATAAATCAAGTTTTCTTTCCAAAATAAATCAAGTTTTCTTATCATATATCTTTTAGGTTTTATCATATCAAATGCTTTTCTTTTCTTTCTTGTTTGTCGTTCTGCAATTTTAATGCTCGATCTGATAGCATTCAAATCATAAAGATAGCTTCTTATTTTTTTTCTCGAGTGTCTTAAACAAAGCCACACTGTTCTTGCGCTATTTCCAATCTAAGTCTAATAAGATTTGTTCATCTTAGTTACATGGTTCGTTAAGCCGATTGACTGGAGTTCGCATTCATTTGCACCTGGCTTTTTAGGCAGCGCAATGAAAATGGATGCACTGTCATATTTCATTTATTATTTCACTAATCTTGTTGATTCCGAAATCGTCTAAGGCTGATAGCATCTCTCTAACAATTGTATTTGGTTCTTTTTCTTTTCATCTTGGTCAATGCTGATCTTACCTCATATATATTACTATTATAGATGCTTCTATGTCATCCCCACCGCCATTTTTGTTGAAAGTAAGAACTAAACACAATACTCCATTTTTTCCTCTTTACTTCAATGACACTACTATTCAGCTAAACTGTATAATTTATCGAACATTCTTCCGTGTTGTGTTCCGTCACGACATTAGTGATCATAGCTCTCCACAATTTCCTGTCCTTTGTAGCTCTTAATAAATATTATGTTTTTCTCCTAAACCCCGTTCTGCCATAAATTTACACAAGCTTACGAGATAGCCTATTCGTTGTTTCCCGTCCTTGCCTTCAATATGTCCTGTGAGTATCAAATTTTCCAACCGCTCTTTCTTCATTATGTGCTCTCTAAATTTCAACTGTCTCTTCCTGATATTATATATAAGTATCCTTTTTGTTTCCATTATCTCTGAAACTTTGTCATCGTTCATATGTTCCGCTGATGGTATTTTTAGTATCCATTTGTGGAACCACATTTCTGTTGCTTCAGGTCTCTTCATCTGTGAGGAGATTGTCCCATGCCATTAATTCTCAAAATAAATCATAAAAATTTGTTTTCTTTTCGTTTTTCCGAAACATCAGCTTTTCGTTTTTCCGAAACATCAGCTTTTGAAAACTTTTATTGGTTCGTTTTCTGCAGCTTAACAACAGGTTATTTAAAGCCAGAAAATTGTAACATTTTTTTAGCTGATAATAGTTTCAGTGATACAAGTCTTACTAATTAACCCATAGCTAGGAGGAGAAGTAGTGGATTCATACCTTCCTCAGGAGTATTAAGTGCATATAAGGAATTCTACGGGAATTGGAACTCGGATCTCCGATTAACAATTCCGAGCCATTATCCCTTACACCACTCGCATATCCAAGCTTACAGCACCTGGTATTCACAAGCAGTCACCTATCTAGGTACTGACCAAGCTCGACATTGCTTAACTGTGCTGATCGTACGGGAACTGGCATTTCGATGTGATATGGCCGTAATCTTTGCAAAGAGACAATGTCCATATCAAGGAAATGTCTGCTTTACATTGGACATTTGAACGTAAAGCTTTCTTAGTGTCCCAAGTCTTTATTGGGTGAATGGAAACGGATCCATGGAAAATTATACAATTGTAAAAAGCGATTTCAGAAGGAGAGACAGAGAGAAATATATAATTAGCAGGCCGTAAACAGAAGACTATTTAACGTATTCTTTAGCATGCGCTAAATTTTAACACTGACATTTCTCGTTTTGATGTGTCGAGAGCATTAACATGCCAAATTCAAGTCTGATACTGAAAATGAAGAGGCCCACTCTACTGGTGTTACTATCCGTTAACACACAGCGACTTTGAGATAGCCAGCTTCCCGAGAGTTGCTAGATCTTTCTTATTAAACCTCAGAAATGAACAGGTGTCTTCTGAAGAGGATTTACCGCCAGTGATCAGACGGATCAAATGTCCTAAGCGGTCAGGCGCTGTAACGACAGCCACGTTTGTTCCTCATATCCAAGGTGACATCAATCAGCAATTTGATGATGACTGTCGCCGAGCAGTAGAAAGTAGCGAAGTCTATTATTGAGGACAATGCTGAGGATACCATGGACCGAACATGTGAACAACGACAAGGTTTTAAAGAAAATGGAAACAAAACAAAAAACAAACTTATACTTAACACCAGTAAGAGGCAGTTGAAATTTCTGGGGCACCTAATGAGAAAGGAGAGCTTGGAAAATCTGATACTCACAGGATGAATTGAGTGAAAAAGGGACAGAGAAAAGGAGCCCGTAATATACTTGCTAGGCTTGAATAAATGAATAGTAGAACGAGGTTTATGAGAAATAATAAAATAAAACTTATTAAGAGCGAGAAGGGACAAGGAAGATGAGGAGGGCCATGATCGCCTACGCCCTGAATAGACACGGCTCATGAAAAAGAAGGTGCATGAAGGCATCAGCTGTACAAGTTATATACGAATAAAAGAGGGCAGTTCATGCATGAAAAGACCCCGGAGCGCCGTGTGACCTGACCGAAGCGCTGGCTGAAATGACAATGGATTTGTTTTGACTCCATGGAGGTATTTACAGTAAGATACACCGTTTGTGATGGTCCTGAGTTGTGAGCAACGGCGTTCATGTTTTTTCGCCCCACTTTTCACTGGATCTCAGGATCAATGCCATTGACCATCGTACGTGTTTCAACAGAGGTTTATTCCCTTCCATATAACTCAAGAGTAATTTTCCGAGAACCTTCAGGATCATGTCACCCTCAACATGTGGGCTTCTACCTCACTTGATTTGAATATTCTGGAGTACTACGTCTGGGGCACTGTCGAGATTAACCAGTAGCTCCACAACTGAATAGTTGTTGAATGCCGCCATCGTAGACGGGATGACCAACATGGTCCGGGTATGACGTTGCTTATTAGGTCATTCTCCATCCCAAGGACTGCTTTATCGAATAACCTTTCCTTGCTTTTCTTAAATGAACTTGTATAATTTTAAATATGCTGACTTTTTTTCCTATCGAATATCATTTTTAGTTAATATTGATATTTATTGTATATAAATACAATTATGGCACAAGGCCGAAAAGGGGGAAGAGTGTTGAGGCTGGTCTTCACTGACTATCTTAGGCCTAGCTAATCCGATTCACCACCCATTCACTCATTACATGTTGCCCATTCACCACAAGAACTCATCTGTCACCAATAAATCCTTCATATACCATAATGTCGCATACTCTTAGGAAACCTAAAAAAAACGCACCCTATGACATAAAAATTTTATGATTATAAAAATTTATACATAAAAACTTTACGGATGATAGGGTGAACCTAAAAATAAACTGAATATCAAAACAAACCAAATAAAGATAAGTGATGTTAGTAGGACCCGTCCAACCCTCAAGAAACAGAGGCTGCTGTATTCTGCCCTTAGACAAAATCAAGAGGTTCTTTCGCTACGGGAGAGGGAAAGGAAAAAATAAATACGGATATGAGGAGTACATTTTTAGTTAATATTATTTGTTCTTAAGTCTTCGTACGCATATTTATATCCAAGATACATGTGCATGGTCAGAACATTAGCGTTGTGACGACGAGTTCCGGATTCAAATCCTAACTTTGCCGATCTGTCAACGATGGGGAGACAATTCCAGCATGCGGCGTCGTTGGGAAGTGCCTGAAAACCCTACCACGAGTTGATACAAGCCTTGAGTGAAATTATGTAGACGAAAAGCCATCGATAGTTGTGCTAGCACGAAGTCGCCAGCCATTGATCAAGGTTTTGAGCGTACTGGGCTTATTCAATGGCTGATTGTGTCAGATAATGCTCTTTGTATCCAAGTAAAGTTGCAGTATAAAGTTGCAGTGGCTCTGTGGGCGGAGAAGTACAAATGTGTCTGAACGGGTATCTGCTACGATGAACTAGTTTTCACAGTCTCTATTGAAATAGATATCTTCAATGCTGTTGTTCCTGCATGCCATTAATCTTTTGGACAGTTCAAACCAATAACTGGTTTTTGTTTTTTTTTTGTTTTTTTTTTTTTTTTTTACTTCCAAGTCAATACCAGTCTCTTGTTTTTCTTTTGACTCGTTCAAACCAATACATGCCTCTCGCTTTCTAGTGCTTATCAAAACGAAAGGATTCGACATTATAGTGATTTTCCAAGCATAGCTTAGATGCGACACAAGGTCGAATGTAGAATGTCGAACTCATTCAGTCGTAATTGTTCTAGCGAGACAAGCTTGCTAACCATTACACCGCCTCGAGGTGCCCAAAGGATTCGACATTATATAACCTGGAAACGGTTGATACACCGTAAAATAAACGAAACCAAACCAATCAGATCATTATATTCTCGCCAGTGCGACAAACTTGAATCTGTTGAATTAGTGAAATTTCGAATAGAGAAAGTTTACATAGAAATTATTCTAGTCTTTTTTTTTCTCCTTATGAAAGAAATTGGTTTGGAGTGTGAAGAGGTTGGTGTCATTCGCGCACTACGGTACGATGAACTTAGTCGATTTGGGAAATTCAGTGTTTTTTTATGTCTGAAATTTTATACGAGAAATCGTTCCGTTTTATTTATACGCGAGTTTGTGATTAACTTTCCCTTGAAAAGTATTTGATAACTCTAAACATATGGAAAGCTTTATTAAAAGTTTAAGTAACCATACAGTTTTTTTCCCCGCCTGTGCTAAAGTTCGTTCCTAAATTTAAAATTGCTCTATGACAGCCAATTCTAAATCACAAATGGCAAGTAACTAAATCTGTAGAACTTTCAGGTTACAATTCTCACTGTTATGGCAATGATAGTTTTAATAAAATTGTCTCGTATTACGCCATCTTTGTTAGTCGAAAGGCTAATACAACACCAATTCAAGTCTGTTCCATATTTATCAAGTAGTTTTCATAAAACTTTCACTACAGCATCTCTAATTTCCACTATACAATTAATAAATAAGGATGCTATTGATTGCGACTATAGAAGAACCATTAAAGAAAAGTCGCAGTATTGTCTGCCATTGGAGGTTAATCGTTTTTGTTGAATAATAATTGAGTATATAAATGAATGAAAACAAAAATCGATTTGATTTTTCACCTGCACCAAGGAAACGAACAACTCGGCTCATCAGGATTTATTTTAAAACCGTAACGTGTATGTGTTTTTTATTTTATTTATTTATATATATATCCTAACTGACTGGAATCAAAAGAACTTCTGTCGAAGCATAGGCAGGCAGCAGATGGGCCTGACACGCGGTAAATTATATTTTGTTCTCATATGGAGTAATAGGGACGTTTATTTCTTTTAATATTTTTAAGGTGGGTGTAGATGGGAGTCATAATTGCTTATATGTCAGGGGAGTTTTCAACTCCCCTGTCCTATAAGTTAGAAACAGATTCTTATAATTATTGATAGCATTAACGCTCTTGCATGTGCAATATATATATATATATATATATATATATATATATATATATATATATATATATATTATTATTATTATTATTTATAAAAATTATAACATAAGTATGTTATAAAATCACTACAAAAATAGCCATTTTGTTTCAACACACTCGGTGTCTTATCAAGTGATGATGTTGAAGATAAAATAAATGGTTTTAAAAGTTTCAAATTAATTAACGATCCTTCACTAGGGGGGAAACATTGTTACAAAAGCTAGAATAACCAATCAAAAACCAAGTATAGAAAGATTCAAAAGTTTGACAACGAAATCATGTTATAATATCTATTCAGATCTTTAAAATACGGGTAATATTAAAAAAATAATTTATACTAACCAATAATTATAAAATTATATGATAAAATTTAATATTAAAATTAAAAACTGGCAATTTTAAAATCCAAATTTAATCACTATTAAGTTTAAAAACTACAAAATTATTGAGAAAAGAAAAAATACATATGTTATTCAATTTATTTCTTCGTTGAAATTACGTTCGACAAGACGCTACAATATATACTGTCATTTGACAATACATGCATATATATATACTTTTTATATATATATATATATATATATATATATATATATATATATATATATATATATATAATGTATATTTCATTAAATAATATAGACAAGTTTTGTCTATTTCCACAAATATATTTAAATGCTTATAATTGATAACAGAAGCCATTGGTTTATATCAACGGCTTCCCATACTTAACACTTCTCGTTTTCACTCTCGTGTGGTTATGTGTGATGTCATGGGCCGTGGTGCGATTTCCGCTTCCAGCCGCTCGTATGCACGAGTTTGTCGTTGCTTGAAAATCTTCCATCTAACCAAAACAGACTATCATTGTTGCTATGTCCGTGTAATAATTAATTTGTTGTAATGTACTTGTCATCTCTGATGATGGCTTATGTAAACCGAAAGCTTAGATATGATTTAAAAAAAAAAAAAACATATATCAATATGGTGATTTTTCTTTGGTCCTTCAATGAAAACGTTAAGCTTATCTGACGATATGAAAGGAATTTGCTTAAAATAAATAGACAAAACTTGTCTATATTATTTAATGAAACGTGCATAAATGAAAAAATGCTGACTAGATATACACACAATAAATATATATCGGCGTTCAAGGCGACTTTTTAATCTTAAAAAAAAACAATCCAGGTATAAAATGTGAACCAATCCTATGATTTATGGCAGATTGTTAACATGTTTGACTGTAGGCTAATTCCTGCCTTGGTAACTATTGACACAAATATTTTATTGAACCTACTTAAAAGTATAGTATAATAAAAGTATATGTGGTATGAAAAGTGTGCCGGGTAGACTATGATAATTAATTGACAATATCCCGTCTCCTTTTTTCAATGATGTTGAACAAAGTCCCAACTGGATGCTTTCAAACTAATAACAGAACAGGGATTGTGAAGGATAGTAAAAAGACAAACATTGCAAAGAGTTACAAAGGGCAGAAGCTGGAGAGGACCATGATCGTCCACATCCAATAGGAACACCATAAAAGGAGAATTGTTACATACATAAACAGTGGCACTCTATCTATCAGGTCATCCCATAAGTTCTGTCCGAATTTTAACTTTTTGTTAAAATGAACAAAATTTAAAGATTATTTTATAATGTCTAATGGAGCTGAACATTATTTTTATGTTTAAATGCATTTAAACTGATCAAATTTTATTTCAGAGAACAATAAAATTAAATTTTGTTTGATTAAAACCCTGCTAACATGGAAGTACACAAGAATCATTTGAGGCACATAATGCTTTATGAGTTCAAGAAAGGAAACTCAGCAGCCGAAGCGGCTAGAAACATTCACTCGGTTTATGGAGAGGAATGTATGAATGAAAGAACTTGCAGAAGATGGTTTGCAAAATTCAGAGGTGGAGATTTCACCCTTGAAGATGAAGATCGAACCGGACGTCCAGTTGAGTTTGATGAAAAGCTTCTTGAAGCAGCCCTTGAAGAAAATCCTGCTTTATCAGTTGAGGAATTGGCAGTGGTTCTCAGTTCAAACCATACAACTGTTCATCGTTATCTTCAACAACTTGGAAAAGTTCCTACACTTGGAAAATGGGTGCCTCATGAATTGTCTGAAAACAACCTCAAATCCCGAGTTGACATTTGCTCTTCTCTCCATTCTCGCCAACTTGTTTCACCTATTTTGGATAGACTTGTGACTGGCGACGAAAAATGGATCTTTTATCGAAATGTTAAGTGTCGTAGACAGTGGCTTGGTGAAGGGGAAGGACCCCAGCCACAGCTGAGAAGGGAACTTCATGGGCAAAAGGTTCTTCTTTCAATCTGGTGGGATCGCCAAGGAATAATCCACTTTGAATTCTTACCACCTAATGCAACAATTAATGTTCAAATATACTGTCAGCAATTAGAGCGTTTGAACCAAGCTTTGAGGAAAAAAAGACCTACTCTAGTGAGTCGAAAGGGGGTGATATTTCATCAGGACAATGCGCGACGCCACACAGCAAGAATCACGTCACAAAAGATCGAAGAACTTGGTTGGGAGAAAATTCCTCATCCACCTTATTCACTCGGTCTTGCTCCTTCAGACTACCATTTGTTTCCTAGCTTACAGAATCATTTGGAAGAAACAGCTTTTGTAACACAGGAAGAGGTTAAAACTGACATTTGTGAGTTCTTCGAATCAAAGCCAAAAGAATTTTACAGTAATGGAATTAGTAAGCTAGTTAATAGATGGAAGGAAGTCATAGATAATCAGGGAAAATAAATTGTTGATTGAATCTGTAATTAAATGTAACATTTGGTCACCTGTTTTCTTTATTCAAAATTCGAACAGAACGTATGGGATGACCTGATAGAAAATTTTTCCCGTGCATGTGTTTTAACTATTTAACTCGGGGTGGTAGCACCTGTTAGGGTCCCAGCTATGGGCAAATAGTTAACCTCCAAACTGGAGTCAAAACAATATTAAAATATAAAAATACATTTTTATAGTAAAATTACCAGCAATACATTTTAGACCTAAAAAAAATACCAGAAATACGTTTTTCATAAAAGAAATTATTAATGCTCCAAAAAAAATTCAACTTCGGCATTAAAAGATCCATACGGACTTGATACGCTAAAAAAAAAAACAGACTTGATTCTAATAAACTGCGATACTCCCGGAGATTCCCAACATGCATCAAATGCAGGTGTCTGTGTTCTTTTATTCTGATCTTAACTTGCGTAGCCTTTCGGTTAATTTTCTTCTGGCTTCTTATTCTATTTCTCCCCAACACGTTTTGTTTTCGTTATCTGTGGTCCTGTCGCACAAATTGTCAACCAGATCACTTGGTCTTTATTGATGTTAGAGTTATTTGGTTTGATTGCAGCTGGACAGCAACAACGCCTTCGCCGAAACAAAAACGTAAAACTTTGAGCCGGTGTACAGATTATACCTGATAGCTGTATACTTTATATGTCACTTGTATAGAAAAGCTAGAAAAAAAAATAACATTGTCACTACCCCGGCCTAGTCTCCAACCGCACACTAGACTTAATTGCGAGCTCCGTAATTTTTTGCAATGATTATTTGCCTCGTCAGAGTTAGATACCAAGTGTTTCAAGATGGCCCAGTTCTCTACTAACTAAAGAACAATTTCTTTATCAAAGTTTAGATAAGAGTTAAACATACGCTGGAGATTGATTAATTGATTCTTTTTCTGCAGCTTATCAACCCTTTTCAGGTTATTTAAAGCCAGAAAATATTTTTAGATTGTAAGAATTTTTTTAGATAATAATAATTTAGTGATACAAGACTTACTAATTAATTCATAGCTGATGCGAGAAAGAATGGATTCATACATTTCCCAAGAGTATTTGCGCGCAATTAATATAACGAAATCAACTAAAACTTGAACTCAGTTCTCTGATTAACAATTCTGAGCCATTATCCATTACACCACTCGCACATCCAATTTTACAACACCTGTTATTTCCAAGTAGTCACTCATCTAGGTACTGACCAGGCTCAGGGTTGCTTAACTTCGGTAATCGTACGGAAACCGGTGTTGCAACGAGATATGCCCATAAGCCTACCATACGCTAGAGAGGAGGAAAGTAGAACAGAAATTTACTATTGCCTGTCGTCAATCTATTTCCTTATACCAACAATAGTGAGCTTTATGGTTTACTCCTGGTATAATTAACACACGAACCGATTCTGAATTCAGTTGTCCAATACTGGTTGAAAAAATACTGCTCTATTTAATCCATAGTTAGGGGTAGAAAAGATCGATTCATAATTTGTTTTTGTGAATTTAACGAACTCAACCAGAATTCAAACTCTCCACGCTGATTTCTCTTTTCGATCCGTTAACTGTTACACTACAAGAAATGTAACGTAATGTTATGTACGTATGTATGTAATTGTATGTATGTATAACAAATTCACGGATTTGACCGAAAAAAAAACAAAAAACGATAACTCAAGAATGACGTCAAAATCAGCGAAAATTTGTCATCTTATAATAGTTGGGCTTAGTTTAATTTGTATCATATATAAATGTAGGTAGGAAAAATTAAATGTTAAGATAGCGAGGGTCGCAAAACACAGCCCGATGGTTCCCATTAGGTTTGCCTCGTCCAGGAGTACGCGCGCTAGCTCTGCTACTATTACACAGTCTATTGTGGTTCCACCAAGCGTCTGGTGGCTGTCGATGGGCGATTAACCTGACCACAATTTTACCGGTGGTAGAAAAAAATGACGTAATGCCCAGTCAGCGATTGAACGGTGGGTAAACACTTGTAACTATTTTTATATCTACCGTGAAACATTACATACCAATTATTTGCGAATTTTGACTCGGGAGATCAGGCAGAAGGGTTAAAATTGTTCAGTAATGCAGGGCTCAAAGGGTTAAGCGACAGCGAGTTTCCACAAATCATCAGTTCTTGAAAGTACTGATTGCGGTCAGTGAGTTTTCATACGAGGACGAACTGGTGGTTTTCACAGATCAAATAACATCCTATCTCAATACTCCGACAGTCTCTTTAGTTTTCCTGCTAATCTTAGTATTAGCGGTCCACTATGCCTCATCTGAAATCCTTGCGACCAGCTATGTCTCAGTTTTTAGACCTTTTCGAATTCTAGAATAAGTATGGTCGGGACAAAAATGAAAATATGACTGAGACAAAGCAACACTACATTTTATCGGTAATCTCTATCTATAAAAGGCAGGACGTATGTGTGTGTGTAACGAATGCACGGCCGCAATTTTCGACGGATTTGCACCAAAATTTACATGCACATGCTTCAAGTTAGCGGGAAGGCCAAGACCGACGTTGTATTTCCCAACTCCCATCGATAGTGGAAATAATCGATTTTTTCATGCTTCTACGGCAGTTTTCATGTAGTTTGCGGCCATTTTGTACTGGCCACGAAAGGCAGGAAGAGTCCAACAGCTGACTGACACGAATGTTAACTAGCATGCTAGCAGGCAAAAAAAAAATCGATAGCTGCATTCGTCACAAGTGGGAAAAATTTAAATCTGCATGGCACTTTACTCCAATTGGCTCATTCGCTTGCTTAAACTCAACGCTGATTCTGATTCTGCAGAACTGGGTTGGGTGTGAAAAAAGTATTTGTTGTTAACATTCTTTTTTCATTCGGTTTTTCCAGTTACGAGTCTTTTTTTTTTTTTTTTTTTTTAAAGCTGATCGTTTTTGTGTTCATTTTGTTTAGTTCTTTTTTCGTAACAGATTTAATGTTTAGTATAGAGCTTAGAAAATATTCGCAGTGTGAGATAGGTAAGAAGTAAGGCATGTAGCAACATCAGCAAAGAAAAGGGCACTCCTTTAAAAGGCAAGGAAGGGCAAAAATATTTTAAGTCAAGTGATAGCGATTGCTGTATGATAGTATACGATTTTTTAATCAAGCACGGGCAACGCTGGGCCATGCTGCTAGTACACTAATAAATAATGTAGTATTGGGATAATTCCATAAACACATGCAGTAGGGAAATGATTTTCTAACAAAAACACGAGGTGAAACTTCATCTAGCTGTTACTAGAGCACATATCGTCTTGTGAGCTGCCAACCTCTGTTACATTTCTAAAGTCTCTTATATCACCCGACACTGTCTTTTACCGTGACGACGTTGCAGGGGGGCATAATTAGTGTTACTATTTTCGTTGCCACGAAGGACCTGGGTGTCCGATGTTGAGTCCCGTGATGACATTGCTTTCCTATGACTAACCTTTGTAAACATTTCTGTGAGTGTCGTCTGCTTCATCAACTTCAGCTTCTCGGTCAGTACTCTCTCTTTAATTGGATAAACTGGCATAATTTCCTGCTCACTGATAAATTTGCGTTGTTCCCTAGTAATTAAATGGTTACACAATTTCACCAGATCGTCTAGGGTTATTATTTTCTCACCAGTATTTACGTCGTCGTCACCATTGCTGTCTTTGTTCCTTTTTGTATTTAACACCTTGTTAATAACACCTCGTGTTGTCTGTTTGCTTACAACATCGCAGGACCAACTGTACCGCTAGTCCTTTGTGGGAAAATGAAATAAAATCGATAAGTAAAATAATAATAATAATAATAACGCATTTTCCCATACGCTAATAGTAAAGGAACCGGAAATATGATTACCCCACTTGGCTTCGTCAAACGCTGTTAGGTGACACTATTGAAGGCTATAAAAAGAAACATTTCCGACTTCCATCACCCCCCACACATGTAGTACCACGTGGTGATTATGTTCCTGCTGGGAAACATTAGTTTCCCCGGTCTGTTAACTACTGAATTAATTTTCCAACGTATGGCGTTCATACGTGTTTTCCAAAAACTTTAAACTATTAAGTGAATCAAACTTTTCTTTGGTTGTTCCAACTCTGCGCAAGGTTGAATTGAGCTCGACTATTAATACGGTGCTTATACTTACCCTAAGTCAAAAAGAAAACGGAAATACTCAAGAAACATTGACAATTTTGTTTCACTGCAGTTTATATATAAAAATGGAATAAACTGTCCCTGGTAGAAACCTAAGTTTTTTGTTTATTTCTTTGTTTAGGTGCATGTCAACTTTTTATGGATCATTTAATGCCGAAATTTAATATTCTTTGAAGCATTTGTAATTTTCTTTAAAAATTTTTTTTTATTAAAATGCATTGTTGGTATTTTCATTATAAAAATGTATTTTCATACTTTCATAGTGTTTGACCCCCAATTTGAAGGTTGCCTATAGCTTGTACCCTAACAGGTGTTACCATTCCGGGTCAGTATGAACCTGAGAACAACAGCAATTAAGAGGTGGTACCACGCTCCTCCAAAACCTCTAATCTCCTGATTAGAAGCCTTGCTGCCGGCTATATTTTATCGTCATATCCAGGATGACCAAGTTTTTGTATGCTTCTTGTGAACGCGCACCACACGCAATAATATATACAATAATATATATAATATACACCCACACGTAACCTTTTAATTTCCCTACCTTCTATACCGCTATTTTGGGCTCCCGTTCCGTTATTCACGCTCTATGAGGCGGGGAAGTTTTTCTTTGGATGTTCGGATTAGGGATGGTGGTGTTGTACTGATATCTGCATGGATTAAGTTCTTTCTTGGATTCGATTCTTCCTACTTCTTTCTTTACACGGCTATTCGGGATTGTTCCATGCGTGGTAATAATTGATTCACGTGTCACAATTTTTTTCTTAGTTCTTTGATTCTGATTCTTTCCCATGTTTCAATTCTATTCGGTCGTAGACATCCACTGATACATTTTCTTATCCCCAATTATCAAACGTTTGCTGAAAAGATCTCTGCATCACCCAGAGAAGCCCTTCTAAAAAAAAAAAATGCTTGATCAGTTCCCAATCTTGTTTACATTCTAAAGTTAGTTGACGTGAGAACTTTTCGGAAGTCCCTCATTGTGATTACAGGATTAAGTGATCTGTTTAAATTTCAAATTTATGCTTTTTATATTCTCTGACAGCTTCTTGTTAGTACATAGACATTCCGCAAGATCAATGGTTTATTTTAACTACGCACATTTAATTTGTGTTATTTCTGCCATAAAGTCATCTCTATATTTACATACATAGTATATTTATCACTGGCGTAAGTCTCAAAATTTAAAATATGAACCTTTTTAACCAAAAATCAACGAAAGAAAAAAAATATTAGAATGACTCTGCTTGTCAATGTAGTTTTCTTCGATGATTTACAAATATTGAAAGGGGAAAAAGATCTATTGCCAAACTATCTATACTAGGTTTTCTGTTCTCTTTTAAAGTCTACCTCTATACTTCTAACATCCCCGATTGATCTCTGAAATTTTATTCACTAATTATGTTTTTTTTTTATTCTCCCCTAATAGGAGTAGATAGGTTCGCCTATCGTTCGGTTAACACTCCTCTCTGACCTTGTGAACACAAATAGATGTTTCCAGTTTAAGATTGGATTTCCGGTTCCTTCTAAAGTTTACTGTCACACTATACTTCTAACGTCTCCGCCTGAACTCTGAAATGTTATTCACTAATTAAATCTTGACCTCTTCAAAATCTAGGACAAGCCGTTATATTTCCTGTATAGCCATAAGAACTTCTCTTCTTGTCGGTCTTACGCTCATAAAATGCCACACAGTAACTGTCTACTTTGAGTGGCTCTTAGGTCTTGTATTGGGTAAACATTAGTAAAAGAAATAAAAAAAAAAAAAATAATCTGCCGCAATAATTCCAGTGCCTTATTAGTCCATATAAAAATTGACTAAGCAACAGCTCTTTTCCTATTGCCGCCTGTCACGTAAGACAGATATGCGAGTGTTTTTATCCATGTGTTCTAGAACCCTATTCCCTTCTTGGTTAAACATTTCTTTGGTAGTTCCAACTCAAGGCTGACGAGCTTGACTTGAGACCATTTGTCAAAATGTCTAGGGATGAGACAGTTGGGGAAAAATGGATACTTTTCCCAACTTTGTCTATATAAGCATAGGTACCTCCAAAAATTCGTATACCTAAGGTTTAAATATATTTTTTATAAAGGAAAAATCCTTTTCGAAGCTTTCTTTTGTTTTTATTAA